AACCAGTATATGTGATATGTAATGACAGGGCAGGAGCACTAAAGACATTTGAAGCAAACAGTAAAGCTGAAATCTACTCCATCACTCTTCTCTTGAAACCCATCCTCTGTTTGCATTTTTGTGACTCGTTTCTTATTTCGAGTTCAGCCTCTTTGAAATTCAGTTTTATTTAACATTCAAAACACTTTGGGAATTTGGTTGCAGATGTTATTTTAATTGTGAATGATAATTAATATTACCTTAGGATTTCTTTTTTATACATATAAAAGTAAGTTTGCAATGAAGATTAATTTTTTCGATGACTTTCCCACGTTTAAGAAGAAAACTTAGCTTAGTCCAGACTCAGGATTCCTCTCTTTGGAATCCCTGCATTGCCTTTTAGTTTTTCACCTGCTTTTCTTTTCAATAATTTTTTTTATCTATTTCAATCAAACCATTGTGTAACTTTGGCTTTCTTTTTCCACATTAGAAACTAGCATTTGTCATCCTAGAAATTTACAGGTGTGTTCATTTTAATGGATGAGAGATAAAAAGAATAAGTGTTATGGATGGTATTTAAATTCGAAGCAGACTCAAAGGAAAATCTGGCTTTGCTTTCAGTGCCAGGGTATTTACTTTCCCTGAGCTGTCAGTGACAATAAAATCTAAATGTAACTTAAACAGTATCTTATAGCTTTAAGCTGAATTAGATTCAGTCTAAACAGTTCTTCAAGCAGCAACTATGACATAAAACATTAAACTTAAGATATTTCCTATCTTCTGTGTTTAGTTCCCTGACTTCACTAGAGCTATTACTCAGTTTAATGAAATCCATCTGGGGACTACTCACACAACCTGTGTGCCTACCCTTGTGTGCTTACCCTTGCCTTGGAAGTATGAGGTTCTCACATTATGAAACTCTTGCAATTAAAACTATTCAGTTCAATAGTTTTAATGCAGAAATATAAAACATAATGCAATTGCTTAGATACAAAACAGCAAAGTAACTAAAGTGCCTACTCCAACAGCAATACTGTAATAGTAAAGGTAAAATAATAACATTTATTTCCTCTAGTTTTTAATCTGGGAATGACTAAATTATAGACTAAACTACATACAGGTACTTCTAAAAAAAACTTGAATTGAATTGTTGAATTCTCCTCCTGATCAAGAACCATCAAAACTGATATCAACGACCCCTCGGATGACCCGACATCACTGCCATCGGCCAGATCCAGGATAATCTTTAATCTGCATTCTGACACAAGGTGGACTGGCTGGTCTGCTCAGAACACGCTAAAACTAAACCTGCTAAAGATGATGTAAATGAAAGTAGACTTCCTGAGAACACCCTCAATACCAGCTCTTTCTTACAACACTTAGGGCCGGATCTATCAAAGGTTTGCGTGTAT